CGAAGAATACATGAGATATTGTCAGATGGAGAAGACCTGAGGTAGAAGGCCTGACGTAGGGGAGGGCAGACTTGGCAGAGGGGAGGGCAGGCTCAGCAGAGGAAATAGCCTGTGCAAAGGCACTGAGGTGTGTAAGACCACTTCTGTGTGTGACTCTGGGGATGTGACATCATTGTGAGGGAGAGTATCCCAACTTTCCCTTTGGATCTCCCTAGGCCCCCATGACATCTGTCATCCTGTCCGGAGAGAGCCAGCAGTGTCTGGTCCCGCACAGTTCTGTAGGTCCCTGTGAGTGACAGTTCTGTTATCAGCAGGGCAGAGGCATGCTTCTCTGGATGAGGAACTCCTCGATTTGACAGCCGAGCTGTCAGCTACCAGCCCCATGTACTCCCAGCCAGACTCTTACCTCTGCTGCCATGTCTCAGGAAGGAAGATTCCCTCCCCCATAATCACCAGCTCTCCCTGGGGCTGAGGGTGACAGCAACCCTGTTTTGTGTGGTGCTGGGCTGGATTAGTCATCTGGGCCTGGGAGACCAGTTCCACTGTAGAGATGGTAAAAAACATCAGTGGCATGGACAGAGCACAGCTCGGACAAGCTGTGGGGCCTTGAAGAGGCCTGTGCAGGGCTCACTGCATATTCCATCTCTGCGACCCCCACACCCTTCCTCCCCAGTGCCTGACATACGGCAGACAATTTATACATGTTTGCTGAATGAATATTGTGCTAAGATGGGGAAGAGGAGAGTAAGAGAGAGAGAGATTGGTTGATTTTTAAAAAGGAGGAGACAAGGTGGCATGTGGGGTACCAGGGACACAGATGTACCAGATCACACCACAGGGCACATGTTAAATGCCAGGCCTGCTGCAAGCACCTATGGGTATTATTAACTTTGTGAACCCTGCCAACAATTCCATTTTGCACTTGAGGAAACTGAGGCAAAGTGGGGCTAAATAACTTGCTCAAGTTCATGCAACTCATGCCCATGGAAGCTGGGTGTGAACCCAGGCAGTCTGCACTGCTAACCCTGCAATGTGATAAATACTGCAGTCATGGTAGGGAAGCATCTTCATGGGACACAGAGGAGACTGTACTCCTGGGGGATGGGATCACTGACCAGGAGGGAGAGAGAGTCCTTCAGTGATGTGCTCAGAGCAGGCTCTGGCCCTCAAACCTCTGCACTGGCTTCTAGGATACCAGATCCTGCACTTATTGGCCTGAGAATTGCTCATCAGGAGTGTTGTGGTCTCTAGCAGGCCTTGGCCTCCACTGCCAGCTGTGGGAGTTCAGCTCTCAAAGCCTCTGACATCATCTATTTCGTTGTAGATACAGCTGGCCAGATGGTTAGCTCACGTAGCCCAGATCCCTGCCATATGGCTGCCACAGGGGGTCAGCAGAGTAAGGGTGGGTTCCCACAGTGGCTTTCAAAGGTCACTGAGAAATCCTTTTCTCCAGAACCCACTGTTACTTCCCTCAGTAGCTGTCTTTGTCTTCTCCCTGCCCTGATACCCCCACCCCATCACCTCTGCTCCTCAGTGAATAGTAATCACCATCATTTGAGTATCACCTTGCACCAAGCCTATTGCATGATTCATTTAGTCTTCATTTTTTATACTGGGAGGGCATCGTTCTTTGTTTGCAAGCAGGGAAGGGAAGCTTAGAGCATTCCTCCTTAAAGACTCCCTGGTAACACAAATGCTGGCTGGTGGAGCTGGATTCAGACCTGGCCACATTGGGGCCAAGCCCCAACCTTTAGCCTGGGCCTTTGTCCTCTGAGAACCACTGGGAGTCCTGGGGCCTTCTCTCTCTTAGCACCTCCTTAGAGCCAATTTTCCTCATCTCAGTTGGGAAACAGTTAGAACAAGGATGCTTGCAAGAATGGAGCCAGTGGCCTCCGTCACAGGTGGTTAGAACCCAGGAGAGTCATTTAAGTGCTAAAATACCCCCAAAGGGATCAAAGGGGCTGCACACACTGCCCCCTACAGTGGTTCACAGAGGTCAAAGGGCATGGCTGTGCAGGAGAGGCCTGCCCAGAGGAAGGGAAGACCCACTGTGCTGGGGAGGGCAGAAAGGACAAGAGGATCACTGATCGAGCAGTTAACTGGTCCCATGAGAAACCAAATGTGACGGCGGGGGGTACCTTTAGGGAGCACACACCCAAGACTAACAGGAAGTGGAAACCTAGCCTGGATCTACCTACTGGCAAACTCTCAGGTGTTGCCCCACCTGACCCGGTTTACTGCTAGGAGCATTCTCTGGGACACAGCGCCATCTGCAGGCAGCCCCGCAGTAATGGGGAGGCAACAGGGGCTGGTCCTAGGAGCTGTTGGTCGTCAGCTTCGGTGCAATGACTGTGGGCAACAAACCCAGCACCACTACAGCCCTTACAGCTCAGGCAGTCTTACAGCCACCAACATCCCCCTTTCCAGCAATCTTCCCAATGATTTGGGCAGATACTATCGTACCCGTTTTGTAGATGGAGAAACTGGACCTCAGAAAGCTGGAGTCACCTAACTAGCTGGTGGTGGAGTCAGGTGGATTCCAGTTCGGGTCCTTTGACCAAAGCCTCTGTGTTCTACAACTATCTCTCTTGTTGCAGAAGAGAAGAAGTTGGAAGGTGGGAGACAGAGTGAAACCTGCTGGTCGGAAGGGTCGGAGAGCGAGTAGTCATGGCTGGGTTCTGTCACACGTGCTCTCAGTGAGGCCCTGCTGCCTGCCAAGCCCCAGCCACCCCGGCCAGGGAAGGCAATCCCCAGACAGCCCACCCTCCCAGGCCTGTTACAGATTAAAATACAGGGAATTGAGCTGCTTAAAGGGGACTGTCGATGTGGGTGAGGTGGATTTTTTACAGGTCTCAGTAACTGGCAAGATAATTGGGAACATTGTTCTCTACTCCCTTCAGTGCCCATCTCAGCAGCAAGCCCTTGTCAGCCAGAACTGAGACTGTCTATTCTAATGAGGAGAAGATACTCAAGTTGTCTAAATTCACCAATTTTTTTGAAATTTGAAACTTATCATTTCCTGAGCCACACTATTAGCCACCCAAATTCTTGAACTTGTTACTGATACAAAACCGAGCAACCCAATCAGGTTTACATTGATGGGTAATGTTTCATCAGCCCCATATGGAGTACCCACTCAGAAGTGGTTCACAGTGGATTTATTCCTGGGACAGCCTTCTACTATCCAATTTAAATCTCCCAGGAGTTTGTTCCAAGAATAGAAGATAACTCTTACACTATCCCCAGCTAACTGCAGTATTATTGTGATGGAAGCCTAACTAGAACGGTTATCTGCATAGCTAGCCAATGCTTCCTACTCCCTGAACACAGAGCACGTGGGGAGATTCTCCTGCTCTAGGGTAACTTTGTTACTTGATTGTCTATAATGCAGCTCATTCTAATTTACCACTTTTGCATATTTATACCCCTTAATTAGTCACCATTTATTAACTGCCTACTGCATGCTTATCCCTAAGATATTTGCTTTGGGTTGGGGAGCCTAAATGAGAAATATTTGCTCCTTTAGGGTGCTGGTCTCTTCTGGGGTCTTAAGCAGATGAACAAATAATATATGTTGAGTAGTCTGTGTGTGCAAAATATTTGCCTGGAAATCCATACATCTGAGAACGGATGCATTGTGGAGACTTTCTAGGATCAGTTAAAGGAGAAAGAAATATAAACGATATTGGGGACCCTTCTCTACACTAGCCAGCCAGAAGAGCATAAGGAGAACACTTTGATTTCACTCATTAATTCAGCAAATATTTGTTGAACACCTACCCAGTGCTAGGCTCTAGAAGGCAATTTTGCAAAAAACAGTCCCTTATCTCAAACAGTTGACAGCACAGCTGCAGAGGCTGTAACTTTTTTAAAATGCAAATCACACAATGGAACAGAAGATCCTGAAGAGATGAGGAAATCCAGCTCTTTGGAAATCATTAGAAATGCTCAATCTGTTAAAAGTAGAGCATCCTATAAGGTCGTACCTGCAAGTTGTCAGCCTCAGTCCTTGGCACATTAAAGAAGTAGGGGAAAGAGCCTGGACTCATTTCTGAACCTCACTGTTGAAAAAAGAAGTGATATGTGGGGGGAGAAACAGGACCAATAGGATCTATAGTGATATATGAGAGATTTATTATGATTTATTATTAGATTAGTTGTGGACGCTGAGATATGCCATGAGATGATGTCTGCAAACAGAAAACCCAGGGAAACTGGTGGCATAATTCAGTCTAAGGCCAAAGGAGGATCAACCTGGTCTAAGTCTCAGAGTCCAAGGCCCAAGAACCAGGAGCTCTCATTCCAATATCCAAGAGCAGGAGAGATGGATGTCCCAGATCAGAGAGAGAGAGAATTTGCACTTCCCCCACTTTTTTGTTCTATTCTGGCCCTCAGTGGATTGGATGATGGCTGCCCACATTGGTGAGGATAAGTTTTTTTCTCGGTCTACTGAGTCAAATGCTCATCTCTTCTAGAAATACTCTCACAGACACACTCGGAAATACTGTTTTACTGGCTATCTGGGCATCTGAAAGGATCACCATCAAGTTGACGTGTAAAATTAACCCTCACAGATGGGTTCTAGCCCGCCTCCATCCAGAATGACTTCCTTCTCTCTACTTCCTGACCATTCTCAGATTTTAACCTTTGGACTCCTTACCCCTAGGGCCCGATGCTCAGCCCACCTCTCCACCTTCTGCTTCCTTCTGTGGTTAGATTTTAGCTTCTCTCCTCCCTTACACAGCCATCAATTACTCTGAGTTAAGACACTGCACCGTCCATCCAGCTCCAGAGAACCACTCCGTACTGGAAGGCAGGACCCCTCTGTACCCAGCTGTCCGGCCTCAGAGGCAAGACACACCCACCTCAGAGGCAAGACACACCCACCCAGGAGAAAGCAAAGAGTGGTAGATTTTAAAGAAATGCCAAGTGGCCACACTGGGAGCTCATAGCTAAACTCAGATTTTTAAGAGGACATGAATTAGAAAAACAAAAGGACAAACTATAAGAATGGATGTTTTCATAAATGTTTACTAATGAGATGAGTATGTGTAAGGCATTTAACACAGTGCCTAGAACATGGTAAGTATACAATAAATATAAGGTGATATTAATGTTACTATTATTGAGTCCCAGAATGGCAAGGGCTTATAATAAAATGTAACAAAAGAAGTCTTTAAAAGCTAAACTTTTCAGAGCCAGAATAACAGAGATACTCAAGGCACATGACATGACGTTAACAAAAGACTGGAAAAAGTTAAAGCCTCCTTTCTCCCAATTTTCTTCCATTTCCTTTGTTAAAGAGAATAATCTTCAACCTGGAAAGGTTAACAAACATGATTATGGGGTAACTGGGACCCAAGACAGATGCTGCAGCGCTCAAGGAGGGCCCTGCTGCTTTACATGAGTCCTCTCCTGATTCCAACTACATATATCCAGAACCTTCTAGCGTGATTTCAGAACCCCTACTGGTAAATGCTGAGAAATCAGGAAGCTGAGAGGAGTGGGGGGGAAACTGGAGGTGGAGAAATGGTACCCAAATGTGACAAAGTGGATTACAGAAATTACAGATTGGTATGTCTGATGATGCAGATCTGTAGACAGCTAGGTTTTGGGCTCTTATAAAAGATGGTGGTGTTTCTAGTGGACCAGTGTGACTCCCTAAGGGTAACTACTGGTCAATTAACCTCATTTCCATTGTTGATAGGCACACAGAAGCACTGCTGTGCATATTCTATACTTAATTTTAGTGAAGCACATGAGAATCTTTCAGGTTTCCTGATGGGCAAGATGAAGAAATAAGGGCTTGATTTAAAATGCAAGGCTCAGAGAGGTTGGTATTTTTTAACATTGACACACAGCTGGCCTGTAGTGGAGTGAGAATTTGACCCAGAGAACATTAACTCTAGGACGCAAACCACCACAGCACTGGGCTGGCATCTACAGAATATGGGGCCCACCACTGGCCCCTCACATTTTAAGAAGGATGCTGACAGATCAAAGCAAGTGTGGCAGAGAGATACCAGAATGGAAGAGACTGGAAACCTTATCATATGAAAAGCCTTGGGGGTCTGTAGGGGATAAAAATGATTTTAGGGAAACACAATGACTGATCTCAAGTGCTCAAAGAAATGTTACATAGTAAAGCAAAGAGGTTTATTCGGCATAGAATAAGGACAAATGACAGATTCCAACTTTCTAAGGACTAGAGTTATTGCAAACTGGGATGGGCTGCTTTATGAGATACTGAGCTCCCTGGCACTGGAAACATTCAAGCAGAGGCTGGACAGACATTGGTCAGGCTTTCTACTCTGAAATGCTTCTCTCCCTCTCTCTCTTCTCAAAATGCCTACAGCACTGCTGAGACCTACTGATTCTGCACCCCTATTGGGATTGGTTTCGTGATTATAAATTCCACACAGTTTTGTTAGGTATCATTTATGTACCATACAATTCACCCATTATAAGCAAACAATTTTCTGGTTCTTAGTAAATTTATACAGTTGAGTAGCCATTACAATAGTGATTAGTTTTTGCTTCCCAAAGAACATTATTAGCATCCAGAGTAGGTCCAAGTCTCCCTTGGCTACGATCCCCACTGGCCTGTGTCCTGGCTCCTCCCGCTCCGGCCACTGCTCGTTCCCCACTCATCCCCCCTCGCATGTCAGCTGGCATGGTTCTTTGCATGCTGCTCCGTATCCCTGGGCTCTGGACCCTCCCTAGATGTCACCACTGGGCACTTTTGCTTCCTTCCCTCCATGTCTGCCAAGCTCTGGAAGCCAATGTCCATGTATTAGCTGCAGTGTAAACTGAAAGGATATGGGCTCTGGTGCCCAGACCCGCAATTGAATCATGACCACATGGCCTTCAGCAAATCACTTTATCTTCTGAACCTTGGTTTCCCCCTTTGTAAAGCATATATATTGCACATGCTTGCTGGGTGTGAAGATTATAGAGATGATGTATATAAAGTGCATAGATGGTATCCAGTATGCTCAATAAATAGTAGTGATTACTGCTTTAACATGAAAATTACTGCTGCGAATCCTGCGGCTGCTTTTATTATTGGCAAAGTCCTCTGCTCTGGGTGCCTATTTTGCCTTTCTCTTCCAGGCATATCTATGGCATTGTCGCTGTTTTCTTGGTCACGTTTGGTGTCCAGATAAGAAAATGGATTCTATTAATCCCCATGGCCCACCGCAGCCAGGGCTGCCTGTGGGTCAACAGGATGGAGCATCAGCACCACCTAGTGGGGAAACACAGCAGCAACTGCTTACTGGCTGGACCCGGGAGGCCTTCTGGTTCCGGCTCCATCCAATGCTTGCCACAGCATCGTCCTAGAGCCCTTCCCACACCATGCATTAGCGTAAAAGAGGATGAGAAGAGTAAGTCAAAATAGGAGAGACATTCTTAGTGTGGTGCGCCTCAGAGACCAGCAGTGGTGAAAAGGCAAAGTTTAAAAAGCACCTCCCCAAATCTACAGAGACAGAAAGGGTCAGTGCTTAGCAGTTGCCTAGGACCGGTGGGGGGTGGGGGGTATGAGAAATGGGGAGTGGCTGCTAAAGGTACAGGGTTTCTTGTCAGGGCAATGAAAATGTTCCGGAACTGGCTGCTGTGACGACTGCACAATTCCATGAGTACACTAACACCACTCATGTACACTTCAGGATGAACTGAATGGAATGTGAATTGTTCTCAACAAAGCTCCTACTGAAAAAGGTGGAAAATTTCAAAAATTTTAAAGGGAAAAAAAGCATTGCCACAGCATGTATCATCAGATTCTCTGCATACTGTCTGACAACCTCTGCCACATACCTATGGACAAAGGACCCAGGTGTCATATTTCATTCTACTTGAACCTTCCACAGGAGGGAAACCCTCCTGTCCTGCGAAACACACAGGCAAATACTCAGCCCTGTTAAGGCGTTACTTAAAACAGTTCAAATGACATGATCCACAATATACAGCTTTGACCCATGGAGCCCCCACATCACCCCAAACTCTTAGCATTCAGAAAGCTGCACCCCGGGTATGCCTGGGACCTTCCATTTCCAGGGGAGAAAATCAAGGGTCAGGGCTGAGTAGTCCAGCTCAATTCAGCTAGTGAATGGGTAGAGCTCTAAGTTTAGCCTCAGCCTGATTCCAGATTCAGAGCTCTTGCCATTCTGACACAGGATGACATCGCAATTTTCACCTGGCATCCCTACGTAATTATTATCCTGTTGCCTCTGCAGATAATAAATCCCATGGTCACCTAACTATGGCTCTTTCCTGGGGCTCCTAACTCAGACTGATGCCTCAGGACAGCTGCTGCCATCAGGTCAGGCCCTTGGCACCCCAGCAGTTCTAAAGCACCCACCAGCTTACCCGCCCAGAATAGGCAAATCCATGGGGACAGAAAGGAGCCTAGTGGATGTCAGCGGCTGGGGGAAGGCAGGAATGGGGAGTGACGCTAACGGATCCAGGGTTTCTTTACGGAGTGATGAAGAGCCTACAATTAGTACTGGTGGTCACACAACTCTGTGAATATACTAAAAACCACAGAATTTTCAACAAAAAAAAAGCAAAAAAGAAGAAAAAAGAGGAGAGAGTGGACATAGTAATGTGCTTTTAAAATAAGCATATGAGCTGGTCTCATTCTAACCATGGCTAAAAAAGGACTGAGCTGATTAGGTGAACACAGCAGGACAGAGAATAAATACAGCCCCATCCCACCCCACTTCCCTTCTCCTGTAAGTAATGTTGATCAGTTTGCAGCCAGCGAACTGGCCACTTTGGACTTCAAGATGTCCTCAGGGAAACACCAGAGCCAGGCATACAAAGGTCTGAGACATGTAGTCCTCAGAATCTTACTAGGTAGGTATTGTTATTCCCCATTTAAGAGTCAAGCAAACTGAGGCTCAGAGAGATGGAGGCTAAGAGTAAATGGTCTGAGCCAGCAGCTAGTGGGGGACACAGCTGGGATGTGAACATGGCTTTCAGGGGCCCAGATCTTTGTCCAAAGCCACTACACTGAAGTGTCTCTCACTTACCCTGCTCACCAGTTCCAAAATCATAGAAAGAGTAAGACTAGTTGAAGGTGCTATGAAGAACAGCAGAGAGGAATGATGCTACAGGTGTAAGGGCGGGCAGCACCTTTGTGGTTGTCTTTTGTACAAGTACCCTGGGAGTTTTCAGTAGCAATCTGCTGAGATGAAAGAAAGGGGTTTTAAAGTAGTTCAAGACATTTAGAAGCACCTGGCTGTCCTCTCCTCCTTCCAAAGCAAGTTCTTTATTGGCCAACCAATCAGCAAGTGTTTAACGAGGCCTAGCGCTGTACTAGGTACACCGTACTAAGCATAAGTACGAAAGTGTGAGACACTGTCCCTGCCAATTTGAGGCGTACAACCTAAATACTAAATGGTTAAAAATCACATCTGGACTCGGTTGCCAGTAGTGCAATGAACATTCTTTAAAATTAGTATTTTAAATAAAAACATTATGCTCCACATTTATCATGGTGTGAAATTTCTTCCTAGTAAAATCAACTTCATTGTTATCAATAAACAAAGTTCACTTAGGTTAAAACTCACCTTCTGTTCCCCTCCTCTGTAATTTGAATAAAGATTTTTTGAAAAAGGAATTTTAAAAGGTAAAGTAGCGGAAGTGCTTGGGTACAAATCTGGCCAACAGCTATCTGGGCAAAAGAGCTCTAGACTACTGAATGAACCTAGCTCATCTCCAGACCATTTTTATTAATATTTTGAGGACATCATAAAGCACATTTCCACATAAGACATTATTGCCATCCAGAAGAGGGGTCAGTGCCACAGAGAGCGGTCTAGACTACACAATTTTCATAGCAAAATTTAGCACCAACTTGGGGGCAATACCAGGGATGCCGAGAATCTTGTCCCCAAAACTAACCTCTTGACTCTCTCACACTCTCTCAGAACTCACAGGTGAGTGGTTCTGGGCACAGAAACTAACCAACTGAAAGTTGGGCTAAGGTAACTGTACTTGGTGATTCCATCCCAGGAGTGAGCCTCCTGCTTCGAGCACAGCACATTCAGCAGAGCAGAGAAGTGGGAGCAGCAGTCTCAGGAGCCTGAAGCCTGAGGTGGTGATGCAAGGACACAAACATGACTATCACCTTACTTCCTTAACCTGACCCTCTGCTTGGCTGCGAGGCCCCAGTAGAGCCTTAGCCTCCCCGCTGGGTTACTACCCCACACAGTCTCCATTTGGCAAGTAAGAGGCAAACAAGGGAAGGAACTAGTGTAAGGGAAGGGCTGGATAATATTCTAGTGTTACAGAGTCTTGATCCTCTAAAAAAAGAAAAAGACCACCGATTCCTTTAAATAAAGCATGTTAAACCAGGAAGTCTAGGCTAGAATATAACTTAAGGGGAAAGTTCAAATCTGAACCTCAAATTTACAGTAAGCCAAGTGCCTTTTCTTCTTGAGGATCATTTGCTTTAAAGCACTGAAAAGTGAGTTGCTAGCTCTGGCAGTGATGGGAAAGAATGAATTTCTTCCTTTTCACAAAAGGACACCAAAGTCTAACAGGACTCTAGGCACGCAGAAACGCCAGGTCCAGGACTGCACAACTGAACACGGTCCACATGCCGACTCTCCTCCTCCTCCCCCATCGCACCGAGACCACACTGGCTATCGTGCACCAATGAGCCCTCCGGACTTCACATCAACGACAACATTGATCATCAAAGTTACTGACATGGAAGGTAGCACTTAAAATGTAACACTGGTTTTCCTTAAAATGTTAAGACTGGTTTTCTTATAGCATGTATAAGGCACAGTGTGAGAAAGCTGCTCCCACTCCCAGCCACACATCCACACTTGGCTCCTCACACGCACACATGCACACAGAAGAGGCCAGCTAATTCTGCCACGATGCATAGGGAATGGGGTGCTTGCAATCACTTCTGGTTTTTGAGCTGGTTGGAGAGCCAGTCCAGGCCTTCGTAAAGTCCATCTCCACTGGTGGCACAAGTAGCCTGAATGTACCAGTTTCTCTGGCGGAGGGAATGTAAGCCAAGCTTGTCTGTTATCTCTGCTGCATTCATAGCATTGGGAAGATCCTTGAAAAAGAAAATTCAGAAGTCATATTTTATTTTTATATTCAAAAGTCAGTTTGTACTCATATAATGAAATCTTACGTTCTTTCCCAAAAACCTACTACAATCCACAGTCTTACCTCAGCTAATGGTAACTCTAGGCTTCCAGTTGCTCAGAGTCAAAACCTTGAAATCATCTTAATCTCTCTTATTAACTCCACATTAGGAAATTCTATTGGCTCTCCCATCAAAATATATTCAGAATCTGACCACTTCACACCACCTCCACAGCTACCACCCTGATCTCACATCATTTCTAGCTTGGATTCCTGAAATAACTTCTTAATTGGTCTCACTGCTTCAGCTCCTGCTCCTCTAAAGTCGATTCTCAACACAGAAGTCCCTGGAAGTCAGATCGAGTCATTCTTCTCTCAGAGCCCTGCAAGAGTTCCACCTCTTCTGATAAGACCCCGAGTCCTGACGATGGACTGTAAGGCCTTCAGGACCTAAGCCTCAATGCCCCCACAACCCCTCCTAATGGTCCTGCTTAATTTTTTTAAATACAGCACTCACCACATGTTACTATATTATAAAATTTGTTTATTTAGTATGTTTATTATTTATTATCTGTCTCCCTTAACTAGAATGCAAGCTTTGACAAGGACAGAAATCTCTTATCTTGTTCTCTGATGTATTCCAAGTGTGAGGCACATAGTAAGCTCAAACTAAATTAGAATAAATTAGCATTAAGGAGCAAAGTAGGTCTAAATGTACTGATATGGAAGGACGTCAAAAGATATGCTACGTGATAAAGCATGATGCAAAATGGAATACAAAATATGATTTCCAGAATTTAAATGTGAATACAATCATATAAGCTGCTTATATAGGCATAGAAACTATATATACCTCCAGGAAGTTTAACAATGTTTGACCCTGAAGAGTGAGCCTAGAATATTTCATTTGATATTTGGAACTATTTCCATATTATACCATGAGCATGTTCTGTTCTAATAATTTTAAAAAGCAAATGTTATTTTCTTTTTTGAAAGTACATTATGTTCACTAGTGAAATTCTGGACTGACATCAACCTAACAGCAGGGTAATGGTTAAGTGAATGATGATCCATCCACCACTTAAAATCATTTATAAAGAGTTGGATGACAAGAGAAAATGCTTTCAATAAATCTGAAGTGACAAAACAGGATGTAACACTGTCAGAACAGTATGATCTCAGTTACCGAACAAATGTATTCCTGGAGGAAAAAGCTGAAGGAAACACATCAAAACGTAACCATGGTTATATTAGGCTACATTCCACATGATTCTACCATCCTTTCTGTACTTAGTCCACCTGGAGTCCTGAGGCTTGGCCCTTCCCCCACCTTCTCTTACTGTTGTATGTTACCTGTATGTAGAAGCCCTCCTTCTTCCTGACCATAGTCCCCACTGATGCGATCATCTCCTGCCTTGTCACCTCCCACCCCCTTCCAGCTGCACTGGCTGACTTGCTGTTCCTAGACCCATGTGGCTCTCTTCCTGCTGGCCTTCAGGTCTCTGTTCACATGTTATCTTATCAGAGAGGCAGCTGGCTCTTCCCTGCACCCATCCTGACCCCTTTCTCTCCTTTATCTTCCTCCACACCACCTCCACCAGACACATTACCTATTATTTATTGACTGACTCTCCTCCCGCTAGAATGTAAACTTCACAAACATGGAGATTTTTGTCTGTCTTGTTCATCTGCTGTATCACCAATAACTAAAGTAAGACCTGGATCTTAGTAGATGCTCAATTAATATTCACTGAGTGAGTGACTGAATGGATTCAAGACATATGCTAAATAGGACATGGACAGAAAGGTTATGGTAGGGACTGGAGAGAAAGAGGCAGACATCTCATTTCAGTATCTATATTTTTAAGTAAGCACCTGGCAGGAATTTCAGTCCCTGTATTCAGAAAGCCAACAACATACCTGTTTATTTACAAACACCAATAAAACTGCATCTCTGAGCTCATCTTCTGCTAACATTCTGGTTAGTTCTTCTCGGGCCTCATTGACCCGCTCTCTGTCATTACTGTCAACCACAAAAATCAGACCTGGAAAGAAACCCAAGCACGTTAGTAATCTGAACCTGGAAAGTGCAGCTGTTTATATGTCCTGACAACTTTTCCCTGCTTACGTGTGCGGTTTCACTGAAAGCAATCAATATAAAAGGATACATAATCTCTAGAGGTAGGAAGTCTGCCTTGCATTCAATGAGCCTATCTTTTTCAGAATCATCACAGCCTTTACTAGATTGACAATAAAAAGAATTTACAGAGAAAAGGTTAAGCTCATTTTTAATCATTTCATTTCTACATCATGCCGATATATTAAAGCTCCAATAAAACCTATGGACATCAAAGTTCAGATAAGCTACCTTGGGTGGCAATACTCTGCATGTGTGCCAGAGGGTAGTGCATCCTGACTCCACGGAAAGAAGACAGTGGAAGCTTTGTGTTTGGTATCTCACCTTATGTGTCTCTCCCTTTGGCCCATACATCCATATCCTTTTGCTATAATAAACTACAAGTTTAAGTATAGTGCTTTCCTGATTCCTGTGAGTCATTCTAATGAATTATTGAACCTGAGGGGGTAGTAGGAACTGCCAAGTGTGTAGCCCGTTAACCAGAGTGAGGGTGGTCTGGGACCCCTGAATTTGCAACTGGTATCTAAAGTGAGGGAGTCTTGGGCCTTTAGCCTGTGAAGTCTAGCCTGACTCCACATAGTTGGTGTCAGAAGTCTCTGCAGCCTCCCATGCTATATATCATCAGAGAAACAACAGGAAGCAAAAAGAAAGGTACAGGAGCAAAGGTGTATCTGAGCACAATGGCTGAAACCTGCATAGACCTGGCCACTGCTACACTGGCTGAAGGCAGAGGTGGAGCCAAAAGGATCTCCAGAGAAGGTGCCCTGGAGGAATCCAACACACTATCCGAATACAGAACATGGAAGACTCTGCCACAGCAGTCCACGTCATTCTCGGCCTGTCTTGTAACTGGGACATCAGTTTTCCCTTGCCTTCAGACCAGAATTTACACCATCAGTTCTCCTGCTTCTCCAAATCACCAACTGCAGGTCCAGGGACTACTCAGCCTCCATAACCATGTGAGCCAATTCCTTATAATAAATCTCATATACATATAAACATGTATATATACAGTTGACCATTGAACAATATGGGTTTGCACTGCATGGGTCCATCATAAGTGGAACTTTTTCAATAAATATATTAGAAATTTTCTTGGAGACTTGCAACCATTTGAAAAAACATTTTCTTTTCTCTAGCTTACTTTCCTGTAAGAATTGTATATAATAGGTATAACATACAAAACAAGTGTTAACAACTATCTATATTATCAGTAAGTTTCCGGTTAAAAGTATGCTACTGGTAGTTAAGCGTTTGGAAAGTCAAAAGTTATATACAGATTTTCAGCTGCACAGGGGGTCAGCATCCCCAACACCTGCATCATTTATGGGTCAACTGTATAACCATCCATCCTATTGGTTCTATTTCTCTGGAGAACCAGACTAGTAACACAGGCTCCTATCTGAGTACCTATTACCTTCCAACCACAGAACTAAGCATTTTACAAAATTAAGTTCATTTAAGTAGGTGTTACCTACATTTTATAGATGTGGAAATTGAAACAGAAACTTTCCAAGATTTCATAGCAGAGCTGTGGTTTAAACCCACGTTTTCTAGTTTATTACTGATGAGGAATTGCAATAGTTTGGCCAGTATGGCAACTGTCAATCCAAGATAAGTGGATATTCTTAAGTATCAAAAAGTCTATTCTGCAATGGATTGAAACACAAAGATATAAAAATCTAAGTAAGAGTCATCACTGAAGTTGCTAGAGTATCAAGCTGTTTGTCTGAAAATAAAGAAAAGTATTTCTCCTGCCTTTCTTGTATAAACTGTATTTCAGAAAAAACAAATATTTGATGAAGGAATTCTTTGTTTAGAAGAATTTCAGCTAACAAATGTAGATGGAATAACAAGATGTAGAAAAATCACCATTTTGTAACTCCCCATGAAATAACAGGCCTAGGTAATAGTATTCAATGAATGCTAAAGTCATTGGGTGAAGAAAGGTTAATAGCGAACTTCATTTTAGGAGAATTAGGCTGATACTATCTAAATTCACTCAGCATCACTGCAAGTGTGACAATGAAACTTTTGTGCTAAGATGTGACACAGTATGAAGTACTTAGCACCACTTATGAAGTATTCTTGCCCCCAAAATGAATCAGAATATAATCAGACCTCTAGAACAAACTACCACTTTACAAGATATCTACAGACAGACCAACAAGTTAAATGACATAACAATCAGCCAAATTGTTATCTCTAAATGTGAGATAAACATCTGACCAAAAAATGTCATAGAAAAAAAATGGAGTGGAGAACTGTCACAGAAATAAGAGATTAAAGAGACATAACAATAAAATGCAATGTGCAGACTCTGATTCCTGATACAAACAAATCAAACTAGGAAAGGACATATTTGATACAGTTGGAGAAATTTGAATAAGGACTGGGTACTTAGATATTAAAGAATTAATATTAATTTTGGAGGTACGATAATAGCATGCAGATTGTTTTTAAAAATGACTATCAGTTTGAAATGAACACTAAAGGATATATGAATGAAAGGCATCACATCTGGGATTTGCTATTACATACTCTGGCCAAAATGTCAATAAGTAAATGTTGAAGCTGGGCGATGGGTATATGGGGGTTTGTTACATATCTTTTCTCTTTCTGTAGCATTTATTTTTAATTTTCCACTAACAAAAGTTGCAAAAAAAGATAAATGCACTATTTTGAGGAAAGACATTCTAATATCTACAGGCTGATAAAATAACTGCAAATAAAATGTTAAAGGTAATATAGCTAAAACAATGATACAAAACAAAGGGACGGTCAACTTGTGTATTTGGTCCTAAAAGACTGACAAATTTAAACCTTTGTTATGAAACACATGCAATGGAAACATCACAGTAGTAGAATCTTCAAAATAAAAAGAATCCAAATAAATTGTAAAATGAGTATGGAGATGCCATATGGTTATGATTCTACATGAGAATCAGGGTGTAAAAATTATGTGAACAGTCTACAGATATCTTGATAGGCAATGTTCTGTAAGATATCATTTATGCAAAATATCCACCAATGAAAAAAATTCAGATTGATGGGCAAGTGGGATACATTAAAACTCAACTTTTAAGAAACCAATGATAAGGAAATATGGTAACAATCTGGAATATTCATGCTTATGGATGCACCTGTAGACAAGCAGGACAGCAGGGGAAGGACTGTGGCTACACACGATGCTGGAATTTGGGGTTCTAGCTTTCCCTGTTCATCACTTTCTCGCCAGAGGAATGGTATTTAGACATTCTCGATGATTTAAAGGAGTTTGCTGAATTCAGATTCTTCAAAAACTGGTACTTTGTCTAAGACACACATAGTTCTCAATTAACCAAAAGATAATATTCATCAGGAAAACTATTTTCTTAACTATTCTGGATTAAGATTTTCCTATGCAGGGAATTAAAGCCCAAGTACTTTTTCCAAGAAGGCAGAGACCATTTCTCAAGAAGAAACCCTGCCAGTAAGTGTAAATGGATCATCAGAAGAGAAGGAATGACTTGACAGTCCAAATAAAGCACAGCACCACAAGGTTTTGCTTCAAGCATCCATCTTAAAACACATGTAATAAAAACGGTTCCCAGGCTACGGACTAGAAAATCTTTACCTTGGGTATTCTGGAAATAATGTCGCCACAAAGGTCTGATTTTGTCTTGGCCACCAACATCCCAGACTGTAAAGCTGATATTTTTATATTCTACTGTCTCCACATTGAAACCTAAATTGGGAAGATGGAGGAAATTTTTAATGAAGACTTTTGCTGGGTGAACAATTCAAATTAATGTCAGCTAACATTTGGGCAGTACTTTAATTTATAAAGCAGCTTGCTAGTCTAAGATCTACTGCTTTACAAAACAGAGTATGTTAGTCAGCTTGCTTTTCCATTCATCACAACAGGTGTCTCAACCTCCCCTCCTTTCCTCAGCAGATCTTACAGTGTACTTCAGAGCAAACAGAAGCCATGAATGGGACTGACTTCCACTTCCCACCACACAAGGTAGAAACCTACCTACATCTTCACCCACACTTTTCTCCAATCTTTTTGAAACAATAGCAGGGGACAACTATCTAAAGCCAGTCCCACCCACCCATGTGCATCCACCCACACTCTGGAAACTTTTACTATTGTTATTCTCTCACCCTATTCAAAATCTCCAACCTGTTCTTCTCAGCATGGTTAAGTCTCTCTCATCTTCAAAAAAACCCTTCCTTGACTCCACATCTTCACCTGCTACTACCCTCTATTTTCCCTTTTAAAGTTAAACTTCTCTAAGAAGATTAGCCACTTCACGGTGTCGTGTCACCTCTCACCCAACAGCACCTTAGCTCTGCTTTACTGTGTTTACAAAGCTAGTCTCGCCAAGGTCAACCACGATCACGTCAATAAAGCCAGCAGAAGCACTTCAGTTCTTACATAATTTGATTTTCTATCTGGCACTACTGCTCACTCCCTCCTTGAAACTCTTCCCTAGCTTCCCCATTTCCTTCTATGTCTCTGGCTGTACTTCCCTGGCTCCTTAGTGCGCTCAGCCACATTTAACTGATCCTTAAATGACAGCTTGCAAGGCTCTGTCCTGTCCCTTTCATTGTCCTCTTTCCACAAGGTAATCTCACTCACACTTAGGGCTTCATTACCATTGTGTGCTAACAACTCTCAAATTTATATTACCTCAACCCATATTTTCTTCCTGAGCTTCAGGCTCATGATCCTACTTTCCATCCAACATCTTTGGTTAGATGTCTCTCAAAGGCTCCAATAAAGGCCATATGCCAAAACCTAACTTTTAAGATCTCCACTCCATCCCTGACACTGCCAACTCTCTCATCCCTAAAAATGCATTACCAGATCTTAACAATTCAACCTCTAAATATTTCAGTCCCCCTAACCTAAGAGACTGTCATTTCTAGCCTCCATTACTGAAATAGCCTAATCTACCTGTAGCTACTCTTCCTTTCTCCATCCATTTAACATTTTCTAATCAAAGCTATCAAAAACATATAATGTGGTCATATCACTTCTCTAACACATTTATGTTTGAAATCTTTAAAGAAGAAGAAGAAAAGAATCTTGCCTTCGCTTCCCACACCCAAATCCCAAACATGACTGTCAAGGCCCACCACAACCTGGGCCTGCTCGATTTCCAAATACCACTTTGAGTCCTGCCTTGTTGCAATGAGAGACATTCATTCCATTGCAGCAATCTAAATTCGTACTAAACAGATGTATAAATTCAATGCCATTCCAATCCTGAAGTGATGGGGGAGGGGGGTAGGAAATTTAGCAAAATGATCTTAAATTTAACCTGGAAAAATAAACAAGCATAAGCAGGAACTCTGAAAACAGTGAATTGTTTTTAAATATATTATCAAACTCTAGTAATACTTGAAGTAACTGAGTTTAAATGACTACAACAGGAAGTTGCCCAGAAAAAGACACACACATACCCTATGAGAATTTAGTATATGATGAAGAAGGCATTTAAAATGAGCATGGAAAAATTATTCAAAAAATGGCATGGGACAACTCTGTCTCCCTGTACATGTTTAACATACGCATAGCTCTTTAGATTTAACAAAATTTAAAAGGTGAACAATTAAAAGTTCAGCTCCTCCCTCACACTAGCCACATTTTAAGTACTCAAAAACCACATGCAGCTAATGGCTACCACACTGGACAGTGAAGGCAAAGAACATTTCCATCATTGCAGGAAGTTCTATTGGACAGCACTGACCTACTCATTTGAAAAACGAGACTAAATACCTGCTTTACTCATAACAGAAAAACAAACTTCAAATAGATAAATGGATATTTAAATGTTTTAAAATTTGAAATAAAAATAACCCATAAAACCAGCAGGAAACATTACTGGTGAATATTTTTATGATCTTGGCATGGGGAAGGACCTTTCTAAAAATTACACCAAAACTTAAAAAAGAAAAAAAAAACAGGTAAATTTGACTACCTCTTAATATTTAACTTTTGTATGGCAAAAAACAGAAAAACAAGGCTGAAAGACAATTAACTAGAAAACAAATAACACATAACAAAAGTTGTTCTTGACCCATGATGGCCTTCTTCAAATTGCTCAGAGACAGATAAATATCCTAACAGAAAAAGAGTTGAACAATATTAAAAACAAGTACAGAACAAATACAAATGGCCAATGGTCATTTGAATATATACATTTATAACAAAAGAAATCCCAATAGAAGTCAGGGTTTTTTCCCTATCAGATTGGGAAATTCCCTGGAGAAATGAACAATTTTAATAGTTGGTAACACCATCTTTTTGGAGAGCAGTTTGACAATTTGTACACACATTTTAAAGGTACATTAGTTTTAACATACCAATCCTTCCTCCAGGGATTACTACAAGGAGAGAAAGAACATGTTTGCAGAAATGTTCAAGATGCTTACTTCAGCATCTTTGACAAAGAACTGTTGCAAATGACCTAATCATCCATCACTGGAAATTTGTTTAAAACATATCCACATAATGGAATATTATCCAGTTACTAAAATTTGATGTTGCATTCAGCTAGTGAGACCACTGGGGCTTGGTCTGGGCCCCTCTTTCTATACATGGTCTTTTTATTCTCAAGGAATGCTGAGCTTCCTTATAAGGTGGGGGCAGTTTTCCTACCCCCAAGGCCCAAGCACTTACCACATCTGTGTTTGAATTACATTTGCTGATGTCCCCTTGGCCAAAGCAAGTCACATGGCCAAACTCAGCATCACTGCACTGGGACTGCACAAGGGTGTGGACACTGAAGGGCATGATTCGCTGGGGACCACCACTTTAACAATCTACCACAAGATCAGCATTCAATTCATTCACCAAATATTTACTGGACATCTACTATTTGTCAGGTGTTTTACTAGGTGCTTGGGGACTGTGGTAAGTAAGACAGACGTGATTCCTGTTCTTATTTTCACTGTAGGGAGGAAAAGAGACAGTGAGCAAGCAATGACAAATGTGCTGAGAGTTACTAAGAAGTCCAGGTTGCTATGGAAACTTATGCCAGGGGAAAACCAGTCCAAGGAGTCAGGAAAGGTGTCCCTGAGAAATAATGTTTAAACTAAGACCAAAAGAATAGCTGGCATGAGCTACATAAGTGGGGGAAGGGAGCTAAGGAAGAAGGCAGGAAAGCATTCCACAGAGAGGAAATAACAGAAAGAGCTCCAAACATACTGTCTAATGCAAAGTAAGCTGGAAAACAACATGCATATGATTTTATAAGGAAATTCTTAAAATCATAATAGTAGAGTGTTTTTAACACTTGTTTATGTTTTTCTGTATGTATGTCATTATGGAAGCATGTAGTATTTTTATAATTGGAGAAAGCAAACAATTATGATATTTTCATTTTTGGACTATAACACTTTTTAAATTTGGGGGTTTGAACATTTTCACCATCTGGTTTCCTCCTCCTTCAAATGTTGCAATCTCTGATGATACTGCCCAAGTTGGAAGGTGACCATTTGATTCCTGTACCCACTCCAATATTCAGAACACTACTGATGTTCACACATGCCATCTGTGGAGCCTATTCTTGCCCGGGAGTTTAGATCTAGAGGCAGTTCATAAGGCAAAGATTAAGTTCTGTCAAAACTGCCTTTGCAAAACTCTTAAATAGCCCTTAAAATACAGTGCTGGTTTTCAGGAATAACTAAACTGCCAGACTTCCTCCAGCAGTGGACAAATCAGGTTCTTCAGGTGATACTAGCTCAAGTAGTTGGCTTGAGCCAGAGTGAAGAAAAAAAAAAACACTGCATCTTTAAGCACTAGGTGTGGAGAAACGCTTCCATTTAGAAAAGCTGGAACAAAGACTGACTGAGGAGGCAAAGCAGGTTCCCATTCCCCAGCCTCCATCTCAGGCTTGGGATGGAACACACACTGTGTCCCACACAATTAATAAGAGGAATGGAGGGCCTAACTGCCCCCACTGCTTTAATCATTATCTTTCTCTTTTTTTCCAAGAAGAGTGAAATCTGCTTAGCTTAATGTGTTCATCTGACTCCCCTGTAAACCATGTGCTAGAGAGGCTGGGGAGCAATTAGGAAATTTTGTATTACCTAGTATGGGCCTCAAAAAGTTTACGCTCTTGGGGCAGACAAGATTTTCAAAAAGAAATATTCAGTAACATAAGAGGCATGTAAAAGTACAACATACTAAACTGTGAACTGATCTTGTCACAGGTCTTAACATACCTATTGTAGGGATGGTAGTCACAATCTCTCCCAGCTTCAGTTTATACAAGATGGTGGTTTTTCCAGCTGCATCCAAACCTACCATAAGAATCCGCATCTCTTTTTTCCCAAACAGACTTTTAAACAGTTTTTCAAAAACGTTCCCCATTGTAGTGAATTCTGTTACCTGAATAAAAAGAAAGGCAAGTCAAGTTGCAGAGATATGGAAACAAATACATAAAATACAAGTCTCTATTAGAGGTAGCTCCTAGCAAAAATTTTAAGTACAGTTTGGTCAATAAGAAGTAGTGTGTCTTGTTTTCAAAGGGAAATTCAACTAAGCCTTTTGATGCCTTGCCACACAATTCTCTTTTCCACTGCAACATCCAAGTGGGGTATGTGGAAGAGAATCTCAATGTACCACTACGGTGGCAGGTTTTAGTCACCTTATGAATGGAAAAAATGCCACAACAAATACATCTGAGTTTTCTTGAAATGAGAACTAACGAAGCAAAACCAGTTTACTAGAAAGGACATGAAGCAAAGTCCTTAAGGCAGGTTAAATACCAATATCTCTTAGAAACTTAATAGTTGCCTTTGGCTAGCAGACAGTATCAATATCCAGAAAAGAACCTAAAAAATGTCAGAGGTAAGTAAATATAGCACTGGGAAAGTGCACTACTAATAGAAACTAACTAGGCAAAAAACTGAGGAGATACCGTAGCATCCAGAGTTGACCATAAACTTACTCTCAACCAAATTTTTTAAGTTTTTACTTAAATATAATTTACACGTATGTAAACACACATGGTAACTGTACTGGTCAATGAAATGTCATGTCACAGATCAAAACAAGATGATTACCAGTGACCTAGATCTCCCATCATTATCCCCGAAAAGGTAATCACTATATGGATTTCTAACAACATAAATGTTCAATATTTTATTTTTCAGTAGAGTGCATGATAGATTCTATAAAAGAAGGCCATAGTAAAGACAGAGTAGCTTTGCAGAAATTTAGTTTTTTCTTTTAACATATCAGCCTCTTTGAAGTGTGAGCTTGACATTCTAATTAAAGACTTCTAAGTAGTACTGGGCCTACACCTCTAGCCAAGCTCTTGAAACTCTACGAAGATTTCTTAAAAAAAAAAAAAAAACCTTGTTACAAAGACTACAATTTTCCTTTTAAACTACCAACTAAAAAGGAAAACTACTCCCGGACAGAGAAGGGAGAAGATGCAGTAAAGACAGCCAATCTCCCATTCATAAGGACCCTAGAGACCTCAGAGGGGAGGTCAACAAACTCAAGCAGCCCCACCTCTGAAGTTCAAAGGTTTCCCGCAGTTCTTTAACATCACGGGTGATGTCTAAGCACACACCATTCCATTCTACGACCAGAGAAAAGGAGCACAGCATTTATCCTGTACATAAATGAGGTATAGGTGGACGGCTGTAACCAAAGAATAATGACTGCTTTAATCATTCATAGACGACCCATATAGCAAGTATATAAAAGGCCAGTGCATTGTAGCACTCAAAATCTTCAGATGGACGACATAACTAGAGATTCCTTGCTTTTGCTTCCGGAAAAAGACTGATATCACAGATGAGAGAAGCCGTACGGAACAAGGGTGAGGGAAGGTACTTGCCAGTTAGATTTGAGGCAAATACTCATTCATGCTCGATTCCCCCTCCGAACCAACACACAGCACACCTCCTAGGTTCTCGCTACTGCTTCTGTTTTCTTCTTCCCACTCATCTACCAGAGGAGCCCAGACTGCGCTGCGCCGCTCAAGACCCTCTGGAAGGAGACGCCGCCGACCCCGGCGCCTCTCTGGCGTGCTCACACTCCCCGGCCCCGAGCACCAATGTCCATCAAGTAGACACTGCCAGAAACCTCCCGGGTACGAATCAGAGCGGATGGCCAAGTGGTACCGGCAAGCGCCCCGGTACCGGAGAAAGGCCTCCGAATGCCCTCTCAGCCGGCAGCCAGGCCGCTCCCTCTCAACCGGACGGCGCTCCAAGTCTCTCTCGGATGCCTGCAGCCCCGGACCCACGGAGGGCGGAGAAGGGAAAGGGAGCCCAACCCCTTTCCGCAGGCTAACCGCTGCTCTCCAGTTCCCCTGCTGACAGGGTAGAAATCCAGCCAGGCCTTGAGTGCCGCGAACCCTTTCCTCCAGTCAAAGACTCACCTGCCACCACACTGAGCACCGTTACTGACACCGCTGCCTTTCCGATTTGGGTTTCGCTCTGCAAAATGGCGACAGGAGCGGGGGCGGGAACAGCAATCACCAATCACCCACCGCCTCTTGGAGCTTTGCGGCCTATGAGCTATGAGATTTGTGAATGACGACATGTGTGGCCAATGGCAAGGACAATAAGAGCCTGGGTAGGAGGAGGCCTGCCCCTTGCGACCTAGGCGACGGCACGAAGCTCTGGAAACGCCGGGTTCATCTTCCAATGACAGCTCTTCGCGTCCCGACGAGACACGCCCATATACCCCGCCCCAATGCCCAGCGAGACCAATCAGAAAAGTAAAGGGATTTCCTATTTGCCCGGCCAATCAACTCGGAGAAATCCCAAGGATTGAACTAACGCCCGGAGCACTCGGACCAACCGGGAGAGGGCATGCGGGCGGGTCCAAGTTCATAGTGATATTTAAGGAAACTTGCCGCGGTTGAGCTAAAAGTAGAAAGTACTTTGGGGAGGCTTTGTGCGTGTCAACCATTTAGACACCAACACCGAAGTTAGGATTAGGGGAGGTTTCCTGTTCAGTCTGAAGCTAGACTGCAGCCCTACCTCTAAATATATTTTCAACAGTTGGGCAAAATACTAGCCATCTGCACCTTCAGACATCGCAGTGCAGCCGTCCTCACTTCTCTAATAACTCAGCCCCAAAACACCAACTTGATTAGGTAAGATTACAAACTCCTATAAATGGTACACAACTGAGGTTAAAAAAAAACAAAACAACTAACATCTATTGAATGCATAATGTTACAAGAACCATGCCAAGAATTTTACATACCTGTATAACCATAATGCCCGGTGAGTTAGCAATTGTCATTTACATTTTACAAAGAGGAAAATTAGCCGGACAGATTCAAGCCTAGGTCTCAACCTTCTTAACAAAATTCTTTCCTAGGCACAGTAATTGTATATATGATGTAAGCGTAAGTACATATGAGGGAATTTTCTACATGACTCTTTATAAATTATTTTTTCTAACTATACAATTTACACAAAGTAATTTTTAAAAGGCATCCCTCACCAGAGAGAGGAAGAAAAGGAAGGGGAGGAGAAAAGAAAACATCACCCATCGTCCTAAGCAGAGGCAATCACCATTATCATTGGTTTATTTCTTTTCAGTCATTTTTCTATGCAATTTTTACATACTTCAAATTATGAATCCATACAAATTTTTTCTAATTAACATTTTAATCTGGCATTTTCCACATTATTTAACATTTTCCTTATACATTTTTGATAACTGTGTGATATTCCATCATATGGTTGAACCCTGATTTATTCATTTTCAGGTAGTTCAACATTTAGATTGTTTTTAAGTTTTTCTATCATGAATAATGTTGCAGTGGACATTTTTTCTCCTTCATGTATTCCTTGATATTTTTTTAGGAAAGGATTCCAAAAGTGGAATCACTGGACCAAAATATGAAGATGTTTAAGGCTGTTGATCCATACTACATTGCCAAATTATTTTCTGAGTAGATTATACAAATTTACACTTCCATCACCTAAGTGAAAGCAATTACTTCATCATTTGGTAAGCTCTTTTTAGAAAGAAGGTTTTTAGTGTTTTGTTTGCTAACTTGATAACAAAAAAAGTATCTTATGTTGGTTTAATTTTCATTTCTTTGATCACTTGGGGTTTTTTTCAAACGTTTACTAAATATTTTTATTTCATCTCCTACAAACAATCTATTCATGTCCTTCTGCTAAATTTTCAAGGCAAAGATGTAACGTTGTTTTGCCAGCAATTGTGAGATTGTTTGAATGGAGTCATCATAACATAAAAAAAGTGAAATAGCATAGATAAAGTTTTTACCTATCCCTGTTTCAATCTACAGATGGAATGTTGGAGCTGGTAATAATGGAGCTTTATCCCTCCACCTCATAATATGTATTATTTTCTCAAGATCTGCATTGTGCCTATGAATAAAACAAAGTCCCTGCCCACATGGCACTCAACTGTTAAAGGATTACAATGATATACATACACACATTCATACACAAAGACATATGAAATATATATAGGTATGGTTTATACATGCATATGTTTCATGTATATATATTTTTAACATATACATGAGAATGGTATGGCGAGGAGACTAGAAGAAAATAGATTTAATTTACTAGTGTTTGTACTCAGGGGTTGGGGCTGTGATTTTTTTTAAGTGATTGAGAGAAAATACATTAATTTTATAACGCAAGACTCAACTTATTTTTTAAAAAATACAAAACTGACTATTAGGAAGGAGGCTTAATTGAAATCATGATAGCTGTTCAGGGGAAGTTTGTTAAGCTCATCTGTGGTGACTCAATAAACATAAATTGCTTACGGTGATATTGAGTGGGGTTTTTTCTTAACAGAAAGCATTCTTGTCAATATAGCATTATTTGTCAGCATGGAAAGTACAAAGTACAGAGAGATAATTTCACCCTGAGAAACATCTTATTTGGAGATAGCTCCCTATCTCTGAGTTAGACTTTAAATTGGTTGATAGCATTATTAGTATCATTATAGTTATGGTACTGTTGGTAGTGGTAGTATCTGCTGTGTAACTGCTGGGTCAGATGCTGAAGTATTAGATGCTCTGTGATAATTATCTCATCTAATTCTCGCATGAAAACATTAAAGTTCAGAGAGTTTAAATATCATGCGGTATATCCAGACCACCTTCACCCGAGTATCACGGAATTTATCCCTTTATTCTGGTCATACTTCTGCACAAGGGATATCTTCTCCCTCTCTTGGAAAGCCCCGCTCTACGTTTCTTGCCTTAGAAACAGTCCTCCAATAAACTTAACCTTAGGCAAAACCTTACGACACACCTTCAGTTTTTCTCAGGAGCTCTCTGGAGAACTGTCACAGATAGGCAATATAGTCACCCCCAACTGTGGTTTGTGGGCCTCTAGTGTCTTAAGGTTTTTGGCAACTCAGCCCCTCCCAGGAGACTCTGATTTCCTTTTCTCAAGATGCATAGAAGCTCATCTGACGAATATCTGAATAATCTCTTTAAAAAGAGATGCAGGCAAAACAAACAAACAAACAAAAACAAAAAACAAAAAAAAGAGATGCAGGCACCTCTCCAGACCCACAGTTAATATGCAGGGTTAGGCAGCCTGGCAAGTGCATTGGGGCTGGTTCTAAAGGAACGTCTGGTTTCCATAGCAACATTCATTCCTTTCCATGGAGGATTCTGTCATCTCCTACCCACTCAGACTTTCCAGACTGAATTGATTTTTTGTGACTATAGGTGTTTGTCCTTGATCATCTAAAGAGAAAAGACATACTTACAAAAAATAAAAAATCTGACTGCACCTGAAATGCTGCATTGCATCAGCTGGTCTTCCTTTCTTTTAAAATTCCATTTCCTTTCTCCACCTTGCTCTGTTTTCTAGCCTTATCCATCATTTTGGGAAATATGACAAAAAACAAACAGATGGCAACTCCATCTTCCTGAAACTGGCTATGAGGGGCTGTAAAATGAAGTTTTCAACAGGGCTCCCTGAATGCCTGGGCTTAGGGTATGGGTGGCTGATCTGTGGGTTATGGTTGAAAGGGCAGGAATAAGGATTACTACCCACATATAGCTCTCCATGGAGATATCATGGTCTCTGAAGTTTTGCCATTAGAGATTTGTTTCCTTAGGTTGAGCATTGCTCTCTCTGGCAATATTCTCTTAAATTTTGTATACTTCTGGGAAGAGAAATATTTAAGGTTACTAATGCTGGAAGAACTGGGGAAAGAGTGAAGGTGGTGCAGAGGGATGGGCATAGAAGGGGCTCTGTAGACCACCTTTGCTTCACAATGACATCTGCAAGAGAAGCAGTGCAGATTCTTGTTACACAGCCACTGGAAGATACCCTTTGACATTTACATTGCAGTGGCAAATTTACTGCATAGCACTATTCTGTGAAACACCTGTATGCAGTTTTGCTGGAAGACTTTGAACCCCCACCATGAAATGACTAAAGTTCCTCTTTAGTCCCCAGCACTATTTGTTTAACCCTTGAGTTTTCACAGACAAAATGTAGGAATAGGGATAGTGTCAGAGAGGAAACTTCCTTTGGGTAATGTGGAAGGCAACAAAAAGTCATGTTGCTTTCTTAAACTGAATGACATTGAATTGATTCAATTCTGTATAGCTTAATATTGCCCTCACTCCTCAAAACACAGAAGAAATTAATTTCCACCCAGTTGTTACCACAACTGGTAAAACTAAAATGCCTGTGTAGCCAAAAAGTTACTCAGCCACATTCTAATAGAGCATTTATTAAGTGATATTTAACAGGATCTAATTTGAACATGGATTTATATCCATAGAGTCTTCAAATCTTTGAGACAGGCCTCTACCTATAGACGTTGCTTACCTGTCAGGAAATAACAGGTGATACTTTCACTATGTTAAAGCCTGGAATCACTTCCTTGCCACTGATAGGAAATTAGGTGTAATAGGTTTATCTGGTGAAACAAAACCTATAGGTTATATATATGCATTCATATATATTAATATATATATATTCATACACACAAACACATATATGAATATATATAGAATTATTTTAAGGAATTGGTTCATGTAGTTGTGGAGGCTTGGTGAGTCCAAAAACCTGATCAGGAGGCTGGCAAGCTGGAGATTTGGGAAAGAGCTAGAGTTTGAGTCCAAAGGCAGTCTTCTAGAAAACCAGCAAGAGCTGATGTTACAGACAAAGACAGAAAACAGTCCATTGGAGAATTCTCTCTTGCTCAGGGAACTCAGCCTTTTGTTCAATTCAGGCCTTCAGCTGATTGGATGAGGCCCACGCACATGCTGGAACATAATCAGCTTTACTCAAAGTCCCCTGATTTAAATGTCAGTCTCACCCCGAAATACCCTTATGGAATCATCCAGAATAACATTTGACCAAATATCTGGGCACTGTGACCCAGCTAAGCTGACACATAAAATTAACCATCACACTGGGTCACACAGTGGTTGTGTGACCTTTCCCTTTTTCCTCCATGCCTCATTGTTCTTTA